CCATACAAACGACTCATTCACGACATAAACATCACAAACGACCGAAAAAGAACAACCTAGCTTTACCGACAGACCGAAACAGATCAATCACGACCGACTTACGTCACTTGAGTCTTACAGCCAATAACATCACGGCAAAACTAACCGATCATTTCACACGAACTGGAATAAGAACATTCTACTGACAACAATCATTCACTTGACTCTGATGATGACTTCCGCACAGGTTGTCGAAACGTCAGTCACTGCCACCGACAACAGTCCTTCTCAGGACTACACTCACCCGGACGATCAGACTACACCTTAACAACTATTCACTTGACTCTGATGATGACTTCCGCACAGATTGTCGTAACGTCAGTCAACACCACCGACATCAGTCCTTCTCAGGACCACACTCACCCGGACGATCACGCTACACTTTCACATGTTACCCCCGGGTTCAAATCATTTACCGCACAAAGTTCAACTCTTTTAAACACGTAAGTTCCTATACTACGTTCTGTCCAAACTAGCTGCTGCAAATGTCCTCTTAAACTATTCTACGTAGGCTAGTGTCACCTGAAATGTATTCCCTCTGCCTCTTATCGCTGTTAGCCCACGTCACCTTTTTGCTGGAGAAAGGATGGAGATCAGGAAGCGAGGTTTAAATTTTTTTTGCTGACTATCATGAAACAAGAAATTATGGGAGGAAGACAGGACATTTCCTTTTTTTTAAAGGACAACCTGGTACAGTAGTAGTCGTGTATATTGGAATAACTGCAAACAAAAAATGGCTGCCACATTCTATTCAAATTAAGTTACACACTATGATTGCCACACAAAGACTGCAAAGTGGAATTGAATTACTTCTCTTTTTATCTTCAAATACTTTTAAACATAACTTCCATACATTGCATTGACCCCTTATTTCAAACTATTTTGTTTTCAACCCTTAAGCCTCATTCCCTAAACTGCTTTCACGCACTAACATGCTGCAAAAAAATAGTCCCCTTGAATCCTTGGTCCTTCTATGATATCAAGTCTGCGGCTCAAAACCTGAAAGAATCATAAAGTAAGTCGATAATTAGCGAAAACGACAATTTTCGTATTTTTAATGGATTTATAGGTACTCTAAATATTTATTTAGATATTCCTTTCGTAAACCTAGTCCATCCGGAGCAGTATTCCTCAATCCATAAAAGGTTATTCACAAATAGCTTATAAGTATCAAACACATAACTTTTCCAACTAAAACCTCATTCACACCTTTTTTCGTAAAACATGGTTTATATTGGTTTGCTTCATGGAAGCTGCTTCAGTGATATTTGTCGACTTCAAATTTGGCCTATTTAAGATAGAAGGAAGCGACTGTATGCACTTGAATCCTATGGAAAATTAAGTTTTTCACTTCCCTGTCTCTGATTTTCACTTAGTTAAATCAAATTTAACGAAACATATCATGCTGGTAGGAATTGGATATGTTGTAAAATGTTTTTACTACTCATTCCCAAATAAAATATATTCCGTGTCAATCTATATCAAATATTTTCATTTAAGTTGGATATAAATTTAGCCCGTAGAGTGGGAGCCTATTCGATAATATTTCATCATTGTTCGGCAACAGCGTCCGTCTGTAATGTTTCTTCTGCCTCACCTTCTTCCTTCGCTTCATCCTCTTCTTCCTTAGCCTCATCTTCTTCTTCAGGAACTTCTTCTATTTCATCATCCTCAAAGGTGTCATCATCCTCGTCTTCAGCTGGATTCTCACTTTCATCTTGTGATTCAGGTACTTCAGCTTCGACAGAATCTTCGGCCTCATCCTCCTCCTCAGGTGTTTCATAAGCGTCCTCCTCTTCGGGTTCATCTTCCTCTTTCAGGTCATCGTCCTCCTCGGTTATCTCTGTTTCGTCTTCTACAGGAGCTTCCTTTGCTTCATCTTCCTGCTGTTTTGTGTCCTCCTCCACTGGTGCACTATCGGCCCCATCATCTTGTGCGGCTTCAACTCCCTCTTCAGCTGTTTCGAAGGCTTCGTCGTCCGGTACTTCTTCGGGTTCATCCTCATTCGTAGGGGCCTCATCCTCAACTTGTTCGCTCTCTTCCACCTCAGCATCATTGGGTTCCTCGTCGTAATATTCTGCTTCATCTTCGTCATCTTTCGTTGGCGCATTAAATGATTCCACTTCGTCATCACTCGTCCATGGCTCCTCTTCACGATAGAGCGATTCCTCTGCATCTTCAAGAGGCAGTTTTTCCTCAGCCTTGCTTTCGCCATCTTTTAAAAAAAAGTCAAAAGAAACTGTAAATTAATCGATTTCGGGCCGAAGGTCTTAAAACAATTTGCAATTGGGCGTCTAGAGTATCAAGGGATTGCTTGGGTTTTCCGTTGCTAAGTCCTGTGATTGCCCACACAACTTGCGTCATCTTCTCTGTTGATTGCAATACGTCATATCTAGTTGTTTTCCCCTACCCGCGCAGTACTGGGTTTAGTTTGCATGTGATGCCATGTGTTCTAGTTTCTTGGCGTTGTTTCGTTTTAGTCACTTTTCCATGGAGTCTACAAATCTTTCAAAGCAGATCTTAAAATCAAGAATCCGATTTTACGAGTCCAGATCATACGAGTGAGATTGTATAGATTGAAACACATTTAACGGGTTTAACAGATCAAGTCGAACATTTATTCTACATCCTTAGTCAGATGCAAAATGAAAACTAAATTTAATCCCAACTTTGTCACTCTCAGTTTCCAGCGCTTTTGGCTTCTTTTTTTTTTTTCTTCTTTTCATTTCTTTACTTTTTCTTTTGAGTTCTAATTGGCTCCATGAGAGATTTTCTGGGGATCCGAATTTTACTTTGCTAATTTACTGTGAAGATGATGATGGTGATCATTGCAGTAATAACTTAAAATCGTTTTTAAACCATGTTTCTCTATTGAATGATATAATTATAAAGACTACTGAAAGATTAGAGTTCCCTATTTTGAAATGATGAGGCCAAGACAAAGTTTGCTTTTAATCACCGATCGTCGACTAGATTTAATGATCGACTATATCTAATCATCGATCGACTAGATTAAATTTGCCTATTCTTTTGTGGTGGAATGTTGTGTAACTAGTGCCGTTGTTTATATGCTAAGTACACGACAGCTCCAAAATCTCCACATTTATTGAATAAGCCTTGCCGTTTGAGAATTGTACCCAGGGTGCTGCTACAAGGCAACGTTCTTCATTCTTCACTTCAAGTTGTAAAAGGTGCAATATGCTGTATTCTACCCTCTTTTCATGGCCTCTCTTGCAATCTACAAGCCTCCATCACGATCGCTATAATCACATAGCTCTATCCTGTAACTACTACAAAAACGTTATGATAAACTATCGACTTACCAAACCCCGCGTCACCACAATACCTAAGATAACATTCAGGTGTCCTCGTCAGTTTGTACACGTAAAACCCGTTGCACTTCTTAATCTGAATGGCTGTATTCCACCTGCAACAGCTGGAGCCCCAATGGAAACACACCTTCCCGTTCACAATCTGTCCGACTCTTGTTGGATGAGAAGTACTTAACCATCCTGGCGCCTGCGTTCCGCAGCGATGTTTGGGAACACATGCCGTTGGCATTTGAGAGCCGGCTGCTCCTCTAAACCTGTACCATTTAGGAGTTACAAGGTGCTTCTGATCACACATGAGAAAATTTCCCCCGTGAGATGTAGTAGCTCTCTGGCTGTCACTGAGAACTTCATAATGTTTGCATTCATCGAAAACTGCAATAAGATGAAGAATAAAGATCACAGTTCGAAACATGCGAAGATATTAAAGTCGTCGAAGCCATGATTTCAGCAAGCTTTGTTTTTGAATTTTCCCCATTTCGTTCACCCCAAGGAAAATTTCGCCAATTCCTTCGTCATCGATCAAATTAATTTGTCTGTGGTCGGATATACAAACGTCTGTATTTGAAATTTCAAATGGAATTTTCTTTACTGTTTATTAATTACTTACGTGACTGAGGTACACTTTTTTAGTAGTCCCTGTTGAGTAGTTTTCCATTCTTATCTAACAAACTACTGACTTATTTGCACTGACTAGGTTTAACCAATAAAACGAGCCACCATTTTCTCTCTAGTTTTAGATTAAATGAAAATGAAGGTTATTGCTCTCGCTACCTCACCTTGCTCGCAGTTCTTTCCTTGGTACCCAGGCCTGCAAAGGCAAGTGTAACTTCCGTTCTGGTTGACACAGCTGGCGCCATTTTGACAAGGCTTACCAGCTTTGCACGGATCTTGACGAGTTTGAAATGAATAAAAAGAAATAAAATAAAATGCTAATAGTATTTTTCATCGGAATGATAATACTAATAATAGCTAATGAGTTCAGTAACGATTAAAAGAAAACAATAATCATATAAATAATAACACCGAGGCTTTAAACCAATAAGCATTATAGAAACGTAGAAATATTGTCATTCTCTGTTGCAGACTACTCTCTTTTCATGACCTCTCTTGCAATCTACACGCCTCCATCACGATATAATCACATAGCCCTTTCCTGTGACACTACCACTAAAAAGTTACGATAAACTATCCACTTACCAAACCCCGAGTTACCGCAATACCTCAGCCAACATACAGGTGTCCTCGTCAGCTTGTACACGTAAAACCCGTTGCACTTCTTAATCTGAATGGTTGTATTCCACTTGCAACAGCTGGAGCCCCAGTGGAAACACACCTTCCCGTTCACAACTTGTCCGACTCTTGTTGGATGAGAGGTACTTAACCATCCTGGCGCAAGCGTTCCGCAGTAATATTTCGGGACACATGCCGTTGGCATTTCAGAGCCGGCTGCTTGTGTAAACCTGTACCATTTGGGAGTTGCAAGGTCCCTCTGATCACACTTGAGAACATTTCCCCTGCGAAATCCAGCAGCCCTCTCTTTGTCATTGAGAACTTCATGATGTTTGCATTCATCGAAAACTGCAATAAGATGAAGAATAAAGATCACAATATTCTCCTAATTTAGACCTAGTAATATTTAAGATAATATATTCGCGAATTACCATTAATACTGGCCACATAAACCTTTTTTCTCTAAACTACATCGTAAATCCAAACAAAATAAAAGGAAAGTGCTCGAATGAAATTGACAATAGAAAAATTTCAAATTTATAGGCAAAAGCTTGAGAGCAAAGCAACAAGAAAATCGACAGCACCGACATCAACAATGAGGGAAAACAAAAGGCAAGCACACAATCCTATCTCGCAGTGCTTGCCAAGAAATCCTGGTTTGCATTTGCATCTGTAGCTTCCTGGTATATTCTCAGAAGTTCCACCGTTACAGCAAGGTTTTGCGATACATTCGTTAACATCTGAACACAAACCAAACATATTTCTATTTGGTTTATTATTATTATTCTGTTTAGTTCATTTCTGTATGTAAAAACAGTTCGAAACATGCGAAGATATCAAAGTCGTCGAAGCCATGATTTCAGCAAGCTTTGTTTTTGAATTTTCCCCATTTCGTTCACCCCAAGGAAAATTTCGCCAATTCCTTCGTCATCGATCAAATTAATTTGTCTGTGGTCGGATATACAAACGTCTGTATTTGAAATTTCAAATGGAATTTTCTTTACTGTTTATTAATTACTTACGTGACTGAGGTACACTTTTTTAGTAGTCCCTGTTGAGTAGTTTTCCATTCTTATCTAACAAACTACTGACTTATTTGCACTGACTAGGTTTAACCAATAAAACGAGCCACCATTTTCTCTCTAGTTTTAGATTAAATGAAAATGAAGGTTATTGCTCTCGCTACCTCACCTTGCTCGCAGTTCTTTCCTTGGTACCCAGGCCTGCAAAGGCAAGTGTAACTTCCGTTCTGGTTGACACAGCTGGCGCCATTTTGACAAGGCTTACCAGCTTTGCACGGATCTTGACGAGTTTGAAATGAATAAAAAGAAATAAAATAAAATGCTAATAGTATTTTTCATCGGAATGATAATACTAATAATAGCTAATGAGTTCAGTAACGATTAAAAGAAAACAATAATCATATAAATAATAACACCGAGGCTTTAAACCAATAAGCATTATAGAAACGTAGAAATATTGTCATTCTCTGTTGCAGACTACTCTCTTTTCATGACCTCTCTTGCAATCTACACGCCTCCATCACGATATAATCACATAGCCCTTTCCTGTGACACTACCACTAAAAAGTTACGATAAACTATCCACTTACCAAACCCCGAGTTACCGCAATACCTCAGCCAACATACAGGTGTCCTCGTCAGCTTGTACACGTAAAACCCGTTGCACTTCTTAATCTGAATGGTTGTATTCCACTTGCAACAGCTGGAGCCCCAGTGGAAACACACCTTCCCGTTCACAACTTGTCCGACTCTTGTTGGATGAGAGGTACTCAACCATCCTGGCGCAAGCGTTCCGCAGTAATATTTCGGAACACATGCCGTTGGCATTTCAGAACCGGCTGCTCCTGTAAACCTGTACCATTTGGGAGTTACAAGGTCCCTCTGATCACGCTTGAGAATATTTCCCCTGTGAAATCCAGCAGCCCTCTCTCTGTCATTGAGAAACTGGTAGTGTTTGCATTCATCGAAAGCTACAAAAAGGAATGTAGACAGTTAAAGACGGAGAATACGATCTCAGGGGTACGAAAATCTTGATTTACTGAATTTCCTTTTCTGATATTGCATTTGTGACGTTTTGTTTGTAATTATAGTCACAGCCATGATCCGCTAATAACTATTTAGAACTTACCTTTCATGGAAAATGAATGTGCCAGAAGTGAGTAATCATATATTTCTTTTAACTGATTTGTTTCCTTATTTTTTTCTTGTTTTACAATTGCAATGGATGGGTAACAAACGTGTCGTTATTATTTGTATAGCAAGATATATAGATAGATAGTTTTTTAAAACTGCATCGTAGCCAAATCATGAATTACGCAATTATTTACAAAAACTTTATAATACTTGAAAATTTCAAATATGTCCTAGATATGAAATCGAAAACCAATTTTTAAGATAATATGAAAAAATTCTATATAACATATTTATATAAATATGTTAAAATATAAAGCATGAGTATAAGTGGGATAAAAATACCGCCCGAACTGTTTCGACTTCGGATATATAAACGTATTACTTGTTGCGTTCGTGCGAAGCTTTGGCATATTAAAAAGGCACTGGTTGACAAGGTCTGGTGGAAGGAGCGCCTTCAATTTATGGTTTAGATCACTAAAAATGTTATGAAAAAGTTCTTTGCACTCATCGGCGTTTAGCTGGACCCTATTCTCGCGAGACCACTCAATTACTCTGTTATCTATTGCTTGCGCGTGACTTTGTTCGCCCTTAACTACTACCTTAGACACCGAGGTGTCGTCCACATGTTTCCATTGCTGTGCGTTCGTATCAAGGTGTTTAATGATTAGGACGAACAACCACTGGCCTAGCTTGGTATCCTGAGGTACGCCAGTAAGAAGTGGGCCCCATTCAGAAAAAAACACTCTGATGCAAGTTTAAACCGCTGGGATCTTTGCGATAAAAAAATTAAACAATGACATGGAGACGCGACAATAATACTGAATGTGCAATTGTTTACTTTATTTTGCTTAGTCATGCTGAGTTACAAATAGAATATAATGTATTAAATAATTAACAATTATTCCACAAGCCTTATCATCACAGGTTTATTACGAATCAACTTAACGGCCTGTTCCCAGTTGGCTTGTTAGGTCAATTGGTAGAGCGCTGCACTAGTATCGCGAAGATCAGTGGTTCGAATCCCGTACAGTCCTGATATTTTTTCAGGTCTGATTTTCGCTATTGCATAAATAGCGCTATCTACCGCGAAGGATCGTGCATCATACGTATAATCATAAAAGTAACTTAGCCTTTTTAATACCCTGAACGAAATCAAAGCGAACAATTGATCAGTAGCTACATACTATTATCACAAACAAATTATATTTGTAATTCCACCACACTAAAATGTTCTGTTTACCATATAGATGTTAATTAAACTTATGCTAAAAGTCTCAGTTGGTAACCATGTGAACCAAATGGTGAACAACATTAAGAGAAATTTATGACCCTTTCATTCTCTTGCAAGCATACAATTTTAACCCACGAAAATGTTATTTCGTCGTCCCACCCGCAAAGATATTCAAGTTTCTTCCTATTTTCGGGAGTTACAAGTCAAACAAAAATGCCATGTTGCTTTAGCAGCGCTCATCATGACCATTACTCTCCGTTTAAGAACAAGTACATTATGACCAAACTATGCGCTTGTCTTTTCGTAAGATATTACAAATAAATAAGGAATTGAGTCTGGTTCAACTTACCAGGATCTTCTTTTATATCTCTCCCCTTGTCCATAGGAGTAGAGTTGCCAATACTGATTAGACAGACGGCGGGGATGATGACGCAGATCACTGATTTCATGCTTTCTTGTATCTGGAACAGAAGAAAGTCTTCGTTTTCCTTTTAACACGCAAAACTATAAAACTTTTTAATACTCCAGTCTATTCAGTTGTATTGACGCCGACTTTTTTAAGTGATTACTCGAGTGTTTTACATTTTTTATAAATACTGCGCCTGCAACAGGCGAAACATTAGGACTAGTGCGACGAGTGTGACTACAGTTTTGTTTAAACGTAGTTAGTAGTTCCCTCTAATAACTATGGTTTAAAGATGCAGAATGACTAGGTGATGTCAACGTAATCGAGCAAAGAAAAAACCAGCCTCTGGATCCGCATCAACATCAAAGAAAAATGGTCAAAATAGTTTGTCATTCCGCATTTTTATAATGATCAACAAACAAGGGAAATGCGATGCTAAACTTTACGAATATGTAAGGGTCCGTGAGAGGTCTCATGCGAGGACCTTTCCAGGCCTCTCGCAGAAATCTGGCGACCTCTCGCATCCTCCCCGCTTTGATTGCCTGCTTGATTGCCTGCTCGTAATCAGCCCATGTCATAGGACCAACGAGACTGTGCTTGAGATCTGCATATTATCGTGCCAAAGTGCAATGATGCAATAAACATTCTCGATTATCATCACAATAAACGCACTACTACCTGTGAACGTTATATATTGTTGTTTTTGTGAGGGAACTTTAGCGATTTGAATGGTTCGGCAATGAACACTCGTAAGGGAAAGTTTAAATTTCTTGTTTTTCTAAAAAGCTGTAATTTCTGAAAAATGCTTTAAGATAAAATATTCGCGGCCAAAAGTCATGTTTCTTTAACAACGATGTGATAAGGCGATATAGCGATAAAGCAGCGATGATGCAGCGCTTCTGTATAACTTTTGCTATGTTGAAATCCTCAGAGCCCTGCAAGGTCTCACCTTTAATTAAAAGAAGCACACAATAACCCTAATTTACTCTTTCCCTCCGGCAACAGACGTATTTACATCTTAAAAATGTTGAACGAAGCTTTATTCACCGCGTGAGTGTGGCCTTTTTGATTTGGAGAAAATGAAAACAACGTAGGGTTCTATGGAACATGGCTTTTGGTTATTTCTGAGTATCACGACTCGATGTCATTGAAACAGTTTTGGGCATTAGTACCCCATTGGATACGGGGCGAGAAACTCATTCTTGCATTACGAAACTTATTTCATTCTGGTTTTTGAGTCTCCACTCAGCAACACCCATAATAGCTATTCATGTCAAAGTCTGCTTC